TTAGATCACATAGCACTTCACGGAAAGGCACCTTGGCGCATCGCAGCAAGTCGCGTGGTAGCCCTAAAACGAAACCCAACAGGGTGGAAAACCCTGAATGGTGCTGGTTTCATAACGCTTACGGGGATGAAGCCAGAAAATGTCATAAACCATGCCGTTATAAGAAGGACACAAACTCGGGAAACGGTCACGCCGGCACGTGCTCACGGCAACCGTAGCCGGCGGAAAAAGCCGTTTGCTCTACGTCACCGACAAACTCATTGGACACTTTTCGTTTAGTTGTACTGATAAGGACTGTTTGCTCGCCCGTTGACCATCCTGATATATACTTCGCGTTAACTACTGATATTTACACTGTCTGATGCAGGTGGATCAACAGTGTCGGGAATTAAAAATAGGCGATAGTGTATCTGAACGCGTATATAAATTTTGGAGTCAGATTTCAGAGCTCAACAAGCTTTCTATGTGAATCGGTACTTCCATGGATGAACTTTATATATATCCATTGTAATACACATTCACATAGAAAACTGATAACCCTGAGTCAACTTATGAAACAAAGCCAAAAGTGTGATTTCTGCAACTCCATCAACCCCGTAGCGTCATACACTTCTACAGAATCGATTGTCTAGGGTTCAACTTGATTCAACATTGATGCTGCCCACATGGTTTAACTGAACTCCCTAAACTGAAGGCACCTGGCTAAGCATCCTCTCTATTTGGCCCGCCGTCATGTTACTTTGCACTGCACATAATCGACCCTCTAGCCGGTTAGTTAGAACGCATCGGTATCTTGGCACGACGTTGGGAATATGTTAATTCCATCCGACGACGCTATTGTGTTCTTTCTTGGTCTCATATTCGTGGGTATATAACAGGTTCGAATAATTAGCGATCGGCCTCTGCGTCTGTCAAGTAAACACCATGACAATTCTTAAAATTCAGTTGAAAATATCGTTCGCAATGAACAGGAGGTAAAATTGGATGAATCACTTTCAAAGTGAGTCATGAACTACTTAGAGATTACTGAGACGACAAATCTGATTCATCCTTATTTACTACCTAAACATCTTGGCAACCGTAAGCCCGCCGAAACTCCTTTGTCAGATGAATCGCCTGGTTGCAGACTTCAAAATTGATGATGTATTTCCCAAGCAACTGTGACTGCAACGATTCCCGCTGACGGTGCGAAAAATTCTAGCACCCTTTCACAGCTCCTTCTTGATGGAGCTGGTGCAAGCCACTGACAGAGCGTTAGATGCTACCAACCCCAACACAAGTATTTCAGCTGCATCTGTACCGGTAACAGGCTTGGCAACTCACGACTATCCTTTTCCGGGTTATACTGATACCACGGACGTTATGGTGCCAATGCCAGGGTCATACTCGACCTTGCAACTTTGAGACTAAAAAGACGGAAAATGCGTAAGCCAACACGTGATAGCTACTGAAGCCAATGGAGAAGCACTTCCCTGCTACCCTCTTTACGTCACTGACAGACATTCCGGGATATGCTTTCTGACTGATACTGGGACAGAAACCAGCGCCACCCCACCCACGAGTGAATAGCGTCTGCCGCCAACGTCTTTGCAACTCTGCACTGCCAGCGGTTCGTCCATCCAAACTTACGGTCAAAGATTTACCTACCTCACTCTTGGGCTACGTCGTTCTTTCTGCTAGGTTTTCATTGTAGCTGATAAGACCACCGCCATTATTGGTGTGGACCTCTGGCAACCCTACCAGCTGCTGTCAGATGCCGGTAAACGTAAGCTGATTATTTGTACCACAAAACTCTGTCTCCGGTACTGTCACATAAATGCCATCTGTCGCACCAGTGTACTCTATGACGGATGTTTCCAATCCCCAACCGTCTATAATTCAGCCCCATCTGGATGTCTTCAGGCCGTCATGGAGTAACTTTTGTGACTTCCTACGTTACGCATCACCTAATGACTCCTGAACCACCAGTGTTCGCTAAACCTCGGCGGTTATCCTTGGAGAAACTGCGTGCTTTCAAAGCCAAGTTTGAACACATGCTTGAAATTTGAATGATCAGACCATCCAGCAGCCCTTGGTCTTCACCGTTGCATGTGGTACTGAAAAATAGTGGCATGGACCAAATGCCGTATAGTGACTACCGAAAGCTTAACGCTACGATGATTCCAGATCGTTGCCCAGTCCCCAACACACAACTTGAACGCATCACAGAAAGGTACGACGATCTTCTGTGAGCTCGACCTGACACTGCTTAACATTAGATACCGGTACATCCGGGTAACTCACCGAAGACGGCAGTCATTGCACGATTCAGCCCGTTTGAGGCTCTACGGATGCCTTTTGGATTACGGAACGCCACACAGGCCTTCTTGCGTTTCATCAACGATGACTTGTGTGGTTTGAATCTGATTTATACCTACTTTAATAGCATCATGGTAGCGAGTGCACATGGGGATGGCCACCACACTCACTTGCGACAAGTCTTTCCAAGGCTTTCCAAACACTTGGTTACCGTCAATCCAGCTAAGTGTCAGCTTGATTTCCGATCACTGGCCTTCCTTGGCCATGCAATAGGTGAACAAGGCACCCACTCACTACGTGAAAAGGTGCAAGTGATTCAACATTTTCCGCTGCCAACATCATTTAAAGCACTGCCCACATCCCTTGTGATGGTGAGCTATTATCGTCGTTTTGTCCACAACTGTGCGCATCTTAATCGCGCCAACCAACCTACTGAAAGGTAAGTGTAAAACTTACAGGATGACTCCCGAGGTGTTGAAAGCGGTTCACGAAATCAAACATGCAATAGCGGACGCCACACTGCCAGTTCATCGGGACGTAAAAGTTCCTCCTAGCGTTGAGATTGATGCCTCTAGTACGGCCACCAGAGCTACGCTACAACAACTTTCGGAACACACTTGGATCCCACTTGTGTTCTCCTCCCGGGAGCCATCCACCAGCGAGATACGACGCAGCACTTCTCGCCGGGAAATGCCCGCCATATGTGCCTCGGTTACGTATATTCGTCACTTTGTGAAAGGCAGTGATTTCATCATGTTACAGACTCCAAACCTTTACACACCACCAAAGGTAGATAATAACCGTATGAATTACGGCGCCTAGACAGCATTTCACAAATTGAGTCAGATGTTTGTCACATTTCTGGTGTGAGAAATCCCATAGCAGGAGCAATGTCTCGTGTTTGGATCACCACTTTACCCCTGGCGGTTGACGCACAGAAGATTGCTGAAATTCGCGGTCCAAACAAAGGAACAGAAAAACTTAAACACTCAACCCCCCTGAAAAACACTGACAACCACAGTGAGACGAACCTTACAGGGTTATCAACAAGAAAGAAACGTTCTTCGCCACTGACAGATCAGAATAGCAAAATACCATAGGTGCCGATCACTTGAAGACAGCGTATATGGAAGGCGATCCAGTTCTGTCCAAACCGACATAGCCGGGAAATCCCTTGCCGACAGACGCTGAAAAAGACTCGTGTAGTTGCAAATTTCCTGGACCTTCTGAAGACCGCACTTCTGGAAGCGCTGGTCAGTACCTTCCACACGTATTGAGGGCCATGCGCACCGGACTAAGCGATTTGCAGATTTCGTTCAGTAGCCCTGGCTCAACTTTACACCTAGCATATTTGGGGTTGCTAATATGTAATTCTCGTGCTCACCAATACTGTATTTTTATATCTTAAGTTTTTTTCGAAAGTTTTCTGTTGGGCAGGTGCTAGAACACATGGAGTTAAGTAGAGTTGGTCAGGCGGTGCGCAACTGTAACACAACCAGCCACCAATCCAACCCTAAACTAAGCCATACAAAATTGGGCAACAAGCCACGCTGCTCGTAAACCACTTGGAGTAATCAGACGTCACTAGGCTGAAAGCTAGTGTCTCTGACGTAAAGCTTTACACACCATTTAATCTGACAAGAAACATTTGCACGATGGCATTTGTGGCCGATAGACGTTATAATCAAGTTAGGTTTGTGAAAATGCTTGTTTTGCCGTTGAGCAGTATCCTTCAGGCCACCGAAGGCACAAGTCACTCAAATGGCTGGTCGTGATAGCCGGATTGGTGCCAGTGAATCATCAAAAACACCATACAACCAATGCTTGTAAACTTCATTGTTGACTACTTCCTCGGGTGCATATCGATTTTCCCCTGGCCAAACACGTCCATCGACCGCGGGTCACAGGGATGAGCTGGTACAACGCAAGTTAGTACTGCTCACCAAGGATACTTCTTTAAAACTGGATACGAATTATGCAGCCATTTTGACGGAACAGGCATCACTTAGTCGAGTCACTAGATGAATCTCCCAGAGATTGCACAATTAGGGGGTTGTTGAACAATAATTGGAAAATATGTCGCACAACACTAACGTTTTAAGAGGGTCAGCATGATTACCTGGAGAGATACAAGTCAGTGGCTGCATCGCCATAACGTTCCAAATATACGAGGCCGTTGACGTGTACTTACGGCTCGCCTTTTTCTCTTAAGGTTTTCCCTTCCAGATTCTCTTGGCCACCACAAAACTCATACTGCCCTACGCGCCTCCTGCGACAACGTACCCGCCTAAAGGCTGGACGAAAAAGTATCAACAGCTGGTTGTTCAGACTTGTGGTGGGTTAAGCTTTAACTTTTCCAATTAACTTGCTTCTGAAGCCGAAAGCATACGAATTATTTAGGCTCATCCAAGACGTTTGATCGTGCTTACCAGGAGAGCTTCTTATTTGCGTAGATGGCTTACCACCGCATATGTCCTCGGAAATTCTGTCCACTGATACCTTTAAGTTGCGGAGAGAAACCAAAAATGGAAACGATAGGCTCACTCGGAAATCTGGTCCCAATTGCCCTTCGAAATTGCAAGCACAACAATGATCTGATCTTTAAGTTAGTGACGGCAACTTCCCGTCACTGACAAAATGCATGACATACACTGCATTCCACTATCCATCAGTACCACCAGGAAAACCTTTATTTCTGAAACATGGAAGGTAATCGAGGCGCTCTTTTGTGCGTGTTCCGTGTGGAAATGACATAAAGCTGAAAGAATCTTGTCAGAAAACGATCTTCAGATCTTGGTTTCCCATGAGTTTAAATCTTTAACTGTGACGAAACAACTTCCATGCAGCTGTGGTGTTCGCAGTTGACCAAGGGGCTTTTGACCACTTCGATCACAGGCGAGTTTACCAAATCTTCGACAGTGTCATAAGAACCCAAGTAGAATTCTGGGCTCTTCAGAAGGTGAGATGCTGCACCAAGCGATTTCACATACTGAGGCTGAAGACATGTCAAGGACCCATGACACCCCTTCATCTATATCTCTCGGAATAAAGACGACTAGAGCTGACCGGTTAGTGAAGTAACACATTTTAAATGGTGAATCACCTATTAAAGCTAATCTTCAATAGGAATACTAGAGCAAACCCTCAAAGACTGGAGTTTGAACACGCTAGTAGGGGCACACGAGGAGGATTTTGTTTCCTGATAGGTGTTGAAGTTTGTAATACCTACTCTGAAGATGTTTCTCAGGCTGCACCATTGGTAATCCAAATATACACTCGATACCCACTCAGAGGCAGAGCCCACAAGCTAAGTAATTGATAAAACGCTCTCCTATTATTTCCTTCTTATTTTTAAAACTCAGGAACGAGTGGTCCACTGATTCAATACGATGAGACCAGTAAAGAGCTAGGCTCTCTCGTTCTATTTGCAGAATTTGGGATTGTTTGGAGTATATGGAAAACAGATAACTGGGATCAAGTGTCTGACTGGCTATTATGCACTTACGTTGCCACTAATTTTGATACACAATGTCAGTATGAAGTCATAAGAGGTGCCAAGTGCTGTAAAAATTCTTTTGAACGAAATAAAAGTAAAAATTAAAAAACAATAGTCCACTATATACACAGCATTTAGTTTTAAGTTCTAAGTTAAAGGCCGTTGTTTTAGGAAACGAAATATGTAGGACAAATCCGTGGCGCGAACTAGAGTCTTGAGATTTCTGGGGGTCGTTTTGGACTTTGCTGAGCATTTCAACTTTGGCTTAGCGGTTAGCACAATCTCTTGATTTCCGTTTCACTTAAACCAGTACTTTTTTATGCCGTGCATATGAACTGTCAACCAAAAACTCTAGAGGTTACTATAGGAGTAAAACTTGGGCACTGTGGTAGATTGTAATTCTATTTCAGTCCGTTTGTTAGGTATGTCACACAGTGAATATGGATCATAAATTGTCCGAAAAGTTATCCAGCAAACGATAGTTTCACTGTGAAGTTTATAACAGAGGGACTTAAATGGAATTCCGAGTTACTTTTGTAACTACCATACAATATGCAAACTTACGTTGCAGAATTTTTGGGCTGGAAGTTACGTAATAACTAAAAGAAACTTGGTGATTTGCAGTATCTTTAAGAACTCAAATATGTTCCCCGAAAATGTCAAATAGTGCGGTGCGCAGTATTTAGTGTGGGATAATAAACCATTAACCTGTGTCTATCCTTGCATTTGCTTTTTCTGTGACGACCCACTTTTGCGTTGATGTAGTCATCAAATTAGCGGGTACCATTTGTTCCTAAATCACTTTAGGAGATCTGGTAGTCTGATTGTCCTTGTGATCAGTCCCGGAACTGGTTAATAGACAAGGGAAATCGGTGCATGATTCACTATTCAAGACGCGTTTACTATTAGGTCATCTACCGCTGAGGGTAAAGACGAATAACTGCTAGTCTCTTTTCATAGGGAATACGATCTAGACATGTATCTAGTTTTTGGGCAGCTCTCGGTACCCGTTCTAGTGTATCGCCTTCCCTTTTTAAGCACCAGCCACCTACCTGAATGCTATAACTGTTATCCGGACTCTGTAATTGGGCGTACATATCAAAATTGCCCGAGTTATGCTACTGAAACATATTCCTTGAGGTCCTATCATGCCAAAAGGTCTGTTGGATAGTAATTAAGCAATTCAGAAATAAGAGTGGTAGGTCAGCGGTCTATGTTAATCGTTGTATTAGGTTTCTCTGTGAAGATCTATTTTCTTATTGAATGCGTCCGATGAAGAAGCTGATACCGCTTTTTTCGGTTAAGGAGTTCAAGTTGTTGACCGCTATATGTAAGAAGCGTAAATTCACACTAAGTTGGCCCGACCGTGGTTCTTGTATTTTCTGGTGGCCTCAAAAATGATCATTTCTTTGGAGAGAAAAGTCGGATATATCAGTCTCAAGACCATCGTTAAGAAAACGAAATACTAATATCAGATCTCATCTTCTACGATGACTAGGAAAGAATTAATCTCTCAAGACGGTCCTTATAGGATACGTTAGATAGACCAGCCATCAACTTAGTCCCAAGCCTTTGAACGCCCTCCAGTGCTTTGGGATCCTCTACGAACCAAGGGCTGGCCTTCTGAATGCAACGTTCGAGATGAGATCATAAATGTATGGTGTGGTTTCCGGAACGAACCTGAACGTAAACTAACGGAGTCATCACAGTGATCGTCATCAGTGGTGGGTGGTGAGGACGAGAGACATGGAGAAGACATCAGCGTTAGGTAACACTGAGCAACTATTTAGGCTTATTAAGGATACCGACGAAATGATTATGGTGTGAAACCAGAAAGCCTTACAGGACAAACGTTGGGAAAACACTCTGAAGCACAGTCCAACTGGCCTTCAACAACGCTTCAGTTGCCCAACATCCAGCCTGAACGTGAATGGAACGTAGATGTCGGTCCTTCAACTCTCCTTAAAGGTGAGAAGGCTGTATCAAACTTGGAACAATCTAAAGCAGCAGGAACTGACAGTTTGCCACCTGACGTTTTAAAGGATGGAGATAGCAAATTGCTGACTAAATTGACGGAGGTACAGGAAGTGTACAGAAATCAGAGGTAGTGCCGTCAGTCTGGTCTACTCCACTTATCCTCCCAGTCTATAAAAAGGGAGAAAAGTTTTCTGACAGCAGTGATGGAATTAGTTAGACTAATACTGTGTTCAAAATTTTAGGCTCCTTAGTTATCCAGTGCTTAACTGGAGCCTGAGAACAGCAGACTCGAGAAAACCAGGCATGTCTCAGACCTAGACGTATATGCATGTGCGATTTGAGAATGTTTGGGATGCGGTGCGGTTCTCAACACCCAAATGCAAATTGTGGTCAATTTACGCCACCTATGGTGCCGCCGTGATATCCGATTGTCTATTAAGGGTCGCGTGTACTGCACAGCAGTCCGCTCTGTTCTACTATATAGCTGTGAAACATGCCTATTGAAGGTGGAAGACATGAGAAGGCTTCAGGTGTTTGACCACCGTTGCCTTCGTAGTATAGGCCGTATTCTGTGGTGTCCCCACGTAACGCAGACGTCAGGTATAGAGTTTTAGGAGCAGAGGTAAATCAGCAGACGAGGTTATAAACCGTCATCGATTGAAATGGTTGGGACACGTACTACATATGCCCAGTCACCGATTGCCTTGTCACACAATGTTAGCCGAAGTAGGTTCAGGCTGGAAAAAGACCTGAGGCGGCCAGACTAAAACATGGCACCAATGTATGAAGTCTCTGACTGTTGGTTTGAGCCCCGTAGGGCGATGCACACTAAGTTTTGGGGTCCGCGGGACAAGAGGAACCAGTGGTTGGAGACTCTAGGTGATATGGCTCAGAACCGATGTGAGTGGCGCAGATGTATACGTACATTAACCTCATTTTAATGACGCTATACCGAATCTCACCATTTTCTCATTTTTCTTTTCTCCCTTATAGCACCTCTATATTTCTCTCTACTGAATTTTCCTTTCTTCATCTGCCTCACAGACTTTTTACTTGATGCACTGATATGAGGTGTGGCAACTCGAGCCGTTACGCAGTGATGCCTGATCCTATGTTGATATTGTTGATGATGATGCTCCCGTTTCACTTAGGCATCCTAGTCATCTAGCCTCACGGTCTTTGCGCAAGCCTTAAGTAGTCTTTCGCGTAAGAGACTTACGAGAACCATGGTCCTCGATAACCGTCGGAATGGTCCGACTGACATCAGAAAGGTGGAAGGAGCTCACAGAGACCCTGTGTTTATTAGCGTGACGTTCTTCCAAGCCCCAAACGGCTTCACTCGCCAGTCTCATGGTGTCTTAAAAATGCAGCCAATGATGGTCTACACCTTCTGGAGGATCGGTAGCTAGCCTTAAATCTAGGTCGGATTGGTACTTAGCTGTACTGTTAGGTGCAACTAATTTGCTGGCACTAACCTGTTTAGGACGACGGTTTTGATGGTCACCAAAACGCAAAACGAGCTTACCACACACTAAAGCATAATCAGAATCCAGACAAACACTCCATATAGAAACTCTGTCCTGTATGCACCCACACCATCGGTAGCTAATTGCAATATGGTCAGAGTGAGGACGCCAAGTAACACAGCGACCATGGGTGTGTGAGAAGTTGACGCTGACTAGAAATAGGTTGTGATCTGCGCAAAGCCGCAGAAGACGATACCCATTATCCGACCTAGGACTAACTAGTCCTCATCGCCCACCTCAACGACTGTCCTCTGAGTCTACACACCCGAATTTCGCATTCAAGTTCCCAGTTAGCACTATGATATCTGGTGAGTTTGACTGGTTGACTAGGTCACTCAGCTGATGATAGAAATCTTCATTGGTTGCATCCGGGCTGTAATCCGTCGGAGGATAGGCAGAGATGACAAAGAGACATCGTTTCTCTTGCCGGTCACTTCCCACTCGAGAGAAACGTTCTAGCCTAACAACTCACAGACCACTGTTTATGGGAATCCAGTCAAGTAGTGTAGCTTCAGCTCAAGTACTTAGTGCGAAACGGAAACCAGCGACGCCGGTTGTGGATGCTACAGGGTCCTCAGATAAGCTCACATGAAACATACTTTTTGAGCTGACATATGATGAAATAATCGGAAGTATTTCGCTGGGATCTTGTGTGTGGGTCTCTGAGATGTGGCTTACATCAATAGTAAGGGTTTCAAGAGTTGTAACCAGATCTGCCTGTTGTTCGGTCTGCATCGAGGTGCGAACGTCGAAGGTGGTGAAACTAAACGGTATGTGCAGTTTTAGGCTAGCTGTTTCAGATTTCGTACTGAGAACAGGTGGATGGGGGCAACTGTTTAGAGACTCAAAGCGGCAGAGACAGACCAGAAGGTTAAGCAACGGAGAGGACCTGAGTGAAATAAATATGAAGACATAATACAGTTCATGTGCAAAAACAACAAAACCGCATCATAGTTTGTAATGTGGAGAGCTTGAATGTTCGCAGAAAGTTGGTTAATTGGTTCGAAATCTTTTTGTTTTGTAAATTCAGTGTCACAGTAAAGCATATTTTGTTTATATTTACTGCATACATATTTTTTTCAGAAATGAATAGCACTGACTTGGCAGTTTTACACAATGTCAGAGGTTTTCTGGAGCATCGGAAATTAGTAGTCAAGCGGTTCAACCAAATAGAGAAAGAAATTTTTGAAAAACTTGAACTACTGAACATACAAATGCTTGATAACGCGCGAAAGGAATTCAGTATCGATTCCACTGAAGTTATTCAAACGCCAACCGGTCTTCGTACGTCTCAGATTATGCGAACTAAAAACAATCTGTTCAAGACGCAAGGAATCAACAATGTGAAGAACACTGAAGACGTAAATCAGTTGATACCAAAGCCAAATCGTCATCAAAAGTTGGTGATGAGAAAAGTCCGGTAGTTATTGGGAAACACGAATATGATTCAAAGAAGCCACTTTGTTCCAATGTACAGGCTTCTTCCAAAAACAGTCAGACAACAGAATGCAGACAGTCTAAACCAGGTCCTTCTTGTACCAGTGAAGTAATAAGAGAAGAACCTAAAACATCTGATTCCTATGTTCGTTGTGATCATAAAAATCTAGATGTCCATGTAAAAGTCGAAAAAGGAGAACAAAAGTGGGAGGTAAGAGGAGGAGACAGAATTCTAATCGGTTCAGAGGTGGCAGGGGCCGAGGTGGTCATTATCGCGGCAGATATCCAAACAACCGGCGTAGAGGTTGTAGATATCCTCGTAATGCAACAACCTATGTGCCGTGTAGCTATTTCGATGTATCTGACTCCTCATCCACATATTCAGAATCTGAACTTGTCAACGGATTCACTCCTAGTGAAGTCGAAGAGTTGCTTCAACAGCAAGTTAAACCATATGACGATGATGCAGCTAGTGTTTTGGCTTTTCTAAGAGGTGGTTGTGAGCATTACTTTTATTAGATATGCATTCATAAACATTTTGTGAGTGGATGTGATTTATTTTGCAGGTAATCAAACTTATTTTTTTTACCAGTTATACATATTTATGTATACTCAGGCCACTGCAGAAAACTTCGATCATAATGCCATCATTTGATGTATTTTTCAGCCAAATATTATGTAACTGAAAAATATCCCTATTTAATAATAGACAGAAAGCTGATAACAGCAAGAGTGCATATTTCTTCGAAGACTTATTTTCAGACCTTCACATTTGTAAATCTATAATTCAAAGGATAGGAAGTTCGAGAGAAATTGAAGGTCAAAGTCAATAGAGGAGTGAAGATAAGTTTAGCAAGGATTTTAAGGAATGATATGCAATACGGGTAAAATTCTGGCAAATTCTGAAAAGTTGGTGAATCGAAAATAAAATTGGAAAACATAAGAATGAATGCTTAGTAATACGTTTACCTTTTTTGTGAGCAAATTACAAGGTGATTAAGAACAAAAATGGTATTCTGTTAATTTTAAAGCTTTAGGAAGTGGCTGTACATATCTATTTTTGAATGCATATTTGCGGTTCGCACTTCAGCCACACACAAAGGTTTTGTCATCACACCTTTTGAACGATTCAGTCGGTCTGTGTAAAGGATCCTGAACGGCATTTCAAAAGGAGCTAATTGTCTTAAATTCACCAACTGCTCGACAGTATAGCTGTGAATAACCCATATACACTAATGTGGTACATGCGTCTTTCTTTCCAACTAAGTGAACTGTAGATCCTTGTTTACTATTCATGAATTTTTGGGAATAGTTGCTTTCTGATAATACTTTGATGGGCTTTTGTGTCTCCTCCGCTATAATGTTATTTGTGCATGTCTTCTTAATGTGGTTGAACAGACAATAGTTTACCTCTGTAATGAAGTGGACAGAAACTATGGTAATTTAGGTCTTGTTCACTTAGGTTTCCTATTCAAGTTTATCACATATAATAATGATGCTGTTCACATATCTTTTGCGGAAAGGAACTTTTGCAATCGAATTTCCAACCAGACTTTCCGCGTGTAAAATAAAAATGTCTGCAAGCAAGAGATTTAGAAAATACTTACCTTGACCAAATTATCGATCTAGCGAAAATCCTCATAAAAGAATCTTAAAATAAGAAAGCGGAATTGGCAATAGAGTATTCGTAGAGAATAGTCACAAAATGTCATGAAAGGAACATTAGTAAACAAAGAATATACGTCAAGAGAAAAAGTGTATGTGTTTTTAAGATTATTATCTTGAAAATATTGAAATAACTTGAGCATATCTTTTCTATATAATCTACGAAACTGTTTCTTAAAAGGACCTAATATCTCCACTAACCACTGATTAAGCTTTTGAATTGAATACCCGCTCATTTACATTATTGGACTCAGAAGATTAATAGGCTAATCGGTTTTCAGGTAACAAGGGTAGTTTGCATACTTCTTTCAGACCTATTGAGAACACATACTTACGTTTTTTTGGAATTTCAGCTATAACGAAACTTTCACCTCGTTTATGTATACGAAAACAATTTTCTGTTATATACAACCTGCCTAAGTAACTCAGCTTTAATACCGAGGATAATTAATACGCTATCGTTCGCGATCCGTTTAAACTAACAACTTACCGCTTTATTATTTTTTACACCCATTTATCATATTTTATATCAATATACACGATAAGTACTTGTGTGACAAAATTACTCGAAATGTATTTCCTTGATACACCACATGTTTGAGACAAACTTCGTCTTCTTACTGCTTCGTCTAGATATATATGATGGGGACAAGGAAGCAGTCTGCAATGGCATAACAACAAGACTGGAAAGTGGGAAGTCTAAAAACCGCTAGGAAGTCCATAAATTAGGAGTATAATATGGCAAATGTCGTAGAATGTAATTCCATTTTGGTTGACTTATTGAATGTATCACACAATGGAACAGCATTATTTTCTGGATTACCTTTCAGACAAAATTTACTGTCCGAAACTTTGAGACATCCTTTAGATAGTTCTGATTTTCTCACCCTTGCTGCATTATTTATTATTATTACAATTATTTGTCCCTTGGGTTCCTAGTGGAACATAGGACTTCAGTAGCACGTCTCAATTTCACTCTCTTCTCTGCAGTCTTTTCAACCTGACTCCACCACTGCCCACAAGCTTTCAATTCTTCCTCACACCATCCCCTCCATCTCACCCTAGCCACAGTCGCTCAACTCGTCGTTTCCAATTTCGCTTCCACTCGAGGGCCTGGCCTGGTGCGTGGTGTCTTCAATCGGTCTTCTCAGTGTATGCCCAATCCAATCCATCTCCGTTGTCTTCTGCATATTTGTTGGGCGATGGGTTTTTGGTTGGTTCGTTGCCAGCCAGCCAGCTAGCCAGAGTTCCTCGCCACTTATTCTTATTATTCTGGCCATCTGATCATCTTCAGTATCGAGTGAGCGTAGGTGGCAGCTGTTGATGCTGTATGTCTTTAGTTTGTTGGAAATGCTTTTCGTGACACGCCAAGTTTCTGAAACATATAGAAGCACTGACTAGTTTGACTGGGATTAGTGTTGGAAATCCGAATCTTGTTCACGCTTTATTCTGAGTGCAGTCGATCTCCACACTGGTTTCAGATTAATGAAGGCCTTCTGTCTTGCTGTCTTTCCGATCCTGGCTGACTTTGACGTCTTCATCTGTGCAGTCTGTAGTTGAAACGATGCTGCCTAGATAGGTAGGTGAAAAAGGCTGCTTCCTTTAGGTTTCTGCCGTTGATGGTGATTGGTGCTTGCTGTTGTTCTTGGTTGGGTATCTTCATCACCTCTGTCTTCTCTACGTTCACTTTCATGTAGCTGTTCAATGAGGTGATAAAGGTTTGTGGCACTAAAAGCATAGTGTTGAAGCAAGCAGCTGCCTGCCAAATTAATTCACGGTCGACGCTGTCGAAGGCTTTTTTAGAGTCGATGAAGTTGACGTAGAGAGTTGTTGTTCTATGATGATGTGTAGCGTTGCAATTTGGTCCGCACATGATTTATACTTCCTGAATCCAGCCAGCTAGCCTGTTCCGGTCGTAATTTTGAATGCAGTGCATCTTTTAGTCTCTCCAGGATGATGCGGCATAATATTTTGCCTGGGGTGGACAGCAGCATGATTCCGCGTCAGTTGTTGTAAAGACTTAGGTCTCCCTTCTTTGTGAGTTTGACAAGGTAGCCCTTCTTCCAATCAGTGGGCAGGTATCCTTCCTTCCTTCCACACCTTTTTTATCTGGGCTTAGGACCGGTTAGTAAATTAGGCGAGCTTAAAAACAACATTCACGCTGAATAATAGTCCTCTTCAATGTAAATGATAAGTGCTTCAGATATGGTCATTGTATATCAGTAGAGTGAACGGAGAATAAGTAATGATACCTCTCTCAGTCTTATGTCCTGATTGCTGTTGATCGATCAAGTCTGTAATTTAGTCACTTTCACCATTGGTGATGTTACCACTCAGCTGTTCATCTTTTGTACAGAAAGAAAGATGGATTTAGTCATTGTGTGAACCATTCAGTTCCAGTGAGAACTGGACACTTGATTGCATCCTTCACAGAGCACTTTTGCGTACCTAAACATGCTTGAACTTGATTCGTGAGTTGACAGATAGCGATTAAACAAGGTGTTCAAAGTATAAACGTTCAAATTTGCTAAGTTTAGGGAATTCTGGAAGGAATGTATGCACCTTCAAATTTATTCAACGAGCATCTTCCCTGGCCTACGCAAGGATTTATTTATTCAATTTACAGCATCTTAAAATATCAGTTAGCCTGTTTTGTTTGCATAATTGTAGGTAGTCCAAGTGTTCACTGAGAATTGGTTTCAGAAAGATCCACACGTGTTGTTTTGCATCGAACGCTTAATTACTCAAACTAAACACTTTTCCCTTACTGATTCAGCTTACATTTCTTCGCAGAAAAGTATTGTTTTACACGAGTAACATTATGTTTTAATACTTTCTGCCAAAACCTTAACTTAATTACTCTAGTTACATACATGTGAGTTAGATGTTTGTTCACCAATCATTTTATGATTCTTTTGTGGCAGATACAGGATACACCCAATCAGCAAACATATTCTTTACTAAGGTTTAAAATTCATAAGAAGGTTGCCTAACTTTTTATCGAGTGTTAAGTTTCAAACTAATTAATCTTTTTCATGGGATGATAATGTTTTGTAGAACATGTAGTTAATACTTCCAAACACACAGACACCTACACCTTGTAAGTATGTCCACTTCCATTCCATCTGCAGATTTCTCGCAGATTCCCAGCCTAGCACTTCTATGCTATATCTTTTCATATCTCTTACAATCTGGGCAGCCTTGTCAGCCAGTCAGCTTCAAACATTGTTCGGACATTCTGTGTCCCCATTTTTACTTTCGCTTTCATTGGGGGAGAGAAAACACATCGGCCAATTGGCTTCCTGAAGGCTTTCACCAACTGGCGTCATTTCGCCTCTCCGATTCCAGCGAGGAATAAGTTTGTTTTTATTTTTTATAATTTCTTTGTGCTTTGAAGTTTGTTTAGCGGTTAGGTTGGTTTTTTCCTGCTTGAGCGTCAAAGTCACCTACCATTTCGACTACATCTGAACGTTTCACTTTCTGTAGCAATGTGGACAGCTTTCCATAGAATTCATCCTTCGCATCATTGGAAATGCAGTCGGTTGGTGCGTAGGCGCAGATTACGAATGGACGTCGCTTAGTTTCACAATCTTTCCTAGTTCTTACAGGTCCGTTCAGTCGAACAGCACAGATGTATGTGGATTGATATACATTCGAGAAGCGCACTTTCTCCCCCACCGTTCAATGCTATGCCTACACTACCGAGTCCATGAGAGATAACCTCTTGGTCTCCGGATACTCTTGAGGTGAGTTGTGAAGGTTCACCGTGTTGGGCAGGTGAGGTCAATTTAATAACCACACTCGGTTCCTGTTTACGTATATCAGAGGTAAAGCATACATCCATGGCTAGAGAT